TACCAATAGTTTATTTTGAGTTTTTCAAACAACAGATCAGAGTAGAGATCATTTTTATACTGGTTAAGACTTCATTTTTGTTTCTTTCTTTTCTTTTTTTAAGTGTCACGGAGAACAAAACTGCAGGCAAGCAGATCGAATTCGAATCAAAAAGCAACAGAAATGTCTGCAAAAAGAAAAGGAGAGCAAGAAAAATCAGGTAGTTTCTATAGAAGGAGGATGATTGCAGGATGAGAAGCAGGTGTGTGATTACAGAAACCAGGAAGGATCAAATCAGAGAAACAGAACCTGACCCAGAACACAAAAACAACACAAAATCCTCAACCCCAGTCATTTTGTGATCAAATTAGAAAAGGTGCTAAACAGTTTCTAACAGTATAATAGAAAAGCAGGGGTTATTTGTTTTCAATTATTTTATGTTTTGGGACTACAGTGATTCACAGATCCATTTTCTACTGGAACTACACCACTTTGTCTGTGTGTTTAGTTTATTGTGGATGTAAAACTGAAACAATAAAACCGTCGTTGCAATTTTACAACAATTGATTTCATTTGAGCAGCATCTCAGAGAGTGAGCAATAAATTGAAACCATCAGTAAAAAAAGCGTCTTTAGCTCCTGCTTCTGTCAGTCTCCTGATGTGAAACGAATGCAGTCAAAATGTTAAAGTTAATCCATTCCATCATGGCTGACGAGACAATGAAAATCATTACTGTAATTACTGCTGAAGGAAAAGAGCGGCGTCTGTAAGATTAGCAGATTTTACAAGCTGGTTGTGGCCTGGGGTCAGATTTGGAGGCAAATCTGCCAGAGTGCTTTATGTCATGAAGCAGGAAGTGGGAAGGTGCATTTCTTTAAGACCAAGTCAGGCTTTAGGGAGCAAATCATTTCTAATGTGTTTATCTTCCTCAGTGAAGCCACAGGCTCCGAGGAGGAGGAGGAGGAGGAAGATGAGTCAGCATCAGAAAACAGAAATGTTGGAGTGAGAAGCATCAGATCAACATGCTGTCCAGTTGTAAACTGTCTCCTCTCAGTCTCCTGTCATTCTTTTGCCTCTTCAGCATTTTTGTCCTAAAATCATCCCCTCCCCTCAGGGAGGATTCCTGCAGCAGGAATCCAGAAATAAAGTTCTCATTTCTTTAGGATCGACTTTAGCCTCACGGCTGGTCGGCATCAAAGGAAACGCTGAACTGCTTCTGACTCTTAATGCAGCTCTTGATGTTTAAGCTTCTTATTTATCAACTAGTTCAGCTGCAAAATGTTGATTTTTAACCCCATCAAGGATGAAAATGACTATAAAAATCCATATAAAGATTCAAATTGTTACTGTTTATTTTTGTTTTGTTGTGTTTTGGTTACATTTTGGGTGGCTGATTCTTTGTATTTAACTTGTGTTTTAAACATTAACATATTTTGACTTGACCTTATTATTGGAGTTGGAGTTTTCCACTCATGACAAACACCAGCAGAGTCAGATTAAATCTGTTATTGATCTCAGTTTGGATTCAACTATTGGATATGTACCAGATTTCGTTTCATATATGGAAGTGGCCCAAGTTGGATTTTTTGTGGTGAAAAATTGGGAATTTGTAAAAGTCGAATTTGAGTCGCACATTGTGGGAAAAAATTCCAATTTGGGATGCATTCATCTTCTGTGTGAAATTAGCCTATGAGTAAAATTAAAACAACACATTTTTATTATATAACTAGAATCTGCTGACTATTACCCTGTTTAATTTTGATTGTTGATTTTATTGTTTTCTAGAGAAAAGGGAAACCTTCTCATTATTTGGTTCTTTGGGACAGAAAATCTTTCACTTTGGATGTTGACTAATTCTTGTATGAAAGTAAGTCCGTCCTACAGATTCCTGTTGATCCTGTTGATCCTGCAGCCAGGAACCTGCAGCTCTTATTCCATTTTCAGGTGTTCATGCATAATGCAGCAGGTCGCTTCATCAAAGTGAAAATGGCTGCCAGGCAAAGGGCAGGCCGAAGGTTTACACACAGGAGCAACACGGCTGCATGGTTACTAAAATACATTTCTCTTCCAGAAGGGTCAGTAGTGAAGGTACAGAATATACAGTTTGAATTAAAAACATATTTCTCTCTAAATGCATCCGCTTCCAGATGTTAAGAAAAAATGCTTCTTATACATCTGCTGCGGCAGATGAAAGACCGTTTAAATCCTGTGGGAACAATCAGATGGAAACATCTAAGACATGCAAGGAAATTAGATTATAAGAAAAACACTTCCTGTTTGTTACACTGGAGAAAATGCTGTGCTAACTGTTTGCTAACTGTTAGCTTCCTGAGCTGCGATCACCACACAGCTAGTTTTACTTCAGTTTTGATTTTGATTACTACGCAGCAGAAACATAGAAATTATGTTCTGATTGGAAATCAAAATATTAACTTTCAAAATGAAGTCTTAGTTAAATCTCTCCAAACAAAAGCAGAATTACTTTGAATTGCACATGGAGGTGAGTCATAACCTTTTATTTTTAAAATATGCATCTATTAGAAACGTTTCTAATAGCACAAAGTCTTTGTATCAAAATTTTTGCTGACTTATTTAGTTTGACACCAGATAAACTTGCATAGCTGAGAAACTGCTGGTGTGCTGTCCTTACATGTGAAATACAAATTATGTTTGTGATAAAGTGTTGCTGCTGCTGCCAGAGTCTCAATATGCAATAGATATAAAGAGTTACAAGTTAATGCATAATGTGGAGTTTCCAAACTGTCCTTAATAAAAGGTCCAAACTGGAACAAGACTCTTCTTCCGGTGTCTGTGTGAATCTGTCCCAGATGTTCCTCTTTAATCCAGCAGCCAGACGTTACCCAAACACTTCTAATGCTGGCAAGAGAAACGATTTTCAGATCCTGGATGTTTTTGTTTTGATAAATTTATCAACTTTATGCCGATGGGACGGATGTTTTTCTGCAAAAATGAAATAAACCATTAAAGGTTCTGGGATTGAACTTTAACTAGGACTTTAGGGTATTCTGTGCACGGTTGAATTTTCAGATGGATTCATAAAATGTCTCGTAGAGGTTTGTTAGTTCAATTCTGATAGTTTTGCAAAGAAGCAGTGAAAGCTGACATCATATTGTGATTTTTTTTATATTTTGTACAGTTTTTCTGTTTACATATTTTTTTATTTGTCTGAGTTTTGGTTTACTTTCTCTAAAATACTGTGGCTTGTTAGACAAAGTTATGTCAGATTTGGTCTCTTGACATTTATCGGTTTGATTGCTCCTATTTGGTTTAATATTTCCATGTCTTCTATTTTATGTAACTTTTGTTGCGTTTTTTGACTTTGCTTCATGTTAAATCCTGAAGTTGTTCTGATTGTTGTTGTTTTATCACCAGCTGTGTTCAGTTTCATCATCTCACCTGTTTCTTCTAAAATAATCAACTTGTTTTGCATCTTTCATTTGATTATTCTAGAAAAGGAATGCATTTATTTTTGCTGTGTAAAGTCAGTGCAGATTTAGCAATTATGCAAATATAAAATATGTAAAAACATTATATGGAAACTCATAAAATGTCATTTCTGGACAAAAATTTAGGAATTTTTGATTAATTTCAGTTTTTCTTTAAGCCAAATGTACAGATTTTACTCTGACCAAAGATTTTTTGCCCAGTATTCACAGATGAAGTGAAGCAGAAACTTTTCCACCATTTTGACCATTTTAATGCCCAGACTTGAACTGACCTCAGGCTCTTTTATCTCCTTCTTCTCTCCAAAATATTTTTCCCACCGTTTTTAGATTAAAGTCCACTCGAAGCAATTTTCATCAGAGCGTAATCTCGCCTTGATATTGGACCGCAGCCGAATTATAACTCAGACACATAAGCAGTGGACTGTAATTATAATAATTGTGTCCAGCCTTCTAGGAAACACGGCTGTGCTGGACTCCGATGCCGCACGCCAACCTGCAGCATCACAGACTCATTTCCCCCCGGGTCTGAGCCGCGGTGCCTCTAAAATAGACCCGACCATTTCCTACTTAATATGCGATTAGAGGCCCTTTGCAGAAGTAATCTAATGAAAAGGGACAGGAAACTCGCAGAGGCAATTTTGTGTTAACAGGATCTCAGTGTTTTTCTATATGGGTCGAGTTTAACTCGTCTCGTCGACTGATTGATAAAACACAAGAAATCTGAAATAAGTACCTTCAGGATTACTGTCAAATAAAAGCTTCTTCCATATTTCCTCATATTTTCCTGTCAGCTGACATTTCATAGATGTGTTGGCTTCAAATAAAACAAATTAAAATGATTCTTAAAGTTTTGGGAGGATCAACCAGAGTCCTGAACTGAATCTGATAGAAATTGATTAGGGTGATGGAAAGAGTGCTTCCAAACACTTATTCAAAAAGAAGTTGTCAAAATTTCAGAGTAAAAATGCCAGAAATCTTGTCAACAACAATAATCACATGGGTCTGATTGCTGTGATGTCAATTAAGAGTATTCTGCTGATTATTGAGAGGGGGATAAAAAAATTAATTAATTAAAAACAGATTTGTTTCCTTCCAAAATGAAATTTACTGGCATACTAATTAAAGTCTAATTACGTCTCCTTTGAGGAAGCATTAATTTTAGGCTGATTTTCTAGTTTTTAGTTTTAACTATACTTGCATATCAATACAGTCCTAAACTTTCCTCCTTTCAATAAACTGTCACATAAACACAAAAATAAGAAGATATTTCAAACTAAGATGGATCTGAATGTTTCTTATGCCCAATGAACTGGGCTGTTGGTTTATTTTTTAATTTTCCATTTTGTTTCCTTAAATGTGTGCTGATGGCCTGAAGTCTAAGAGGAACATATACTGCTACATGATTTTAATCATGATCATACATGATCATTTAAAAGTAGCTTTGTTTTTGTAAAATTATTAAAAAATTTATTTTTTTCCCTGTTTTGCTGTTGTTTTCCTGCTAAAATGATCTGTTGCGTCTTTAATTAGTTTGTGTGTTTCTGTTTCTAACAGGACAGTTTTCCTGCGAGATTCGGAGGGATCCACTTTGTGAACCAGCCCTGGTACATCCACGCCCTCTACACGGTCATCCGACCCTTCCTCAAAGACAAGACCAGGAAAAGGGTAAGACCAAACGGTCAACATGTTAAAAAAAAAGGAAATGTCTTTAGACATTTAAAAAGGATAAACTAGCAAACAGAATGAAAGTTCACTTTGTTTCAGTTTTAGGGGTTTTATTTATCAGGACTAGTGATGGTTCACAAACAATCTGACTGTTGAATGGTTTGCTTACAACTCTTTGTACATCCTGCAGTAGTTATTATTATTCTATTTTATTTATGTAATTATCAAACAAATTAAATCCAGTAAAGGTCGTGTGGACACGGCTCAGTCTCGTTGCTCATTGTTTGATTTCATCACTTGTCATGGCGGCTCTGACAGTGAAACAGCAAATTGCTTTTTTTAGGTCAGCAACTGTTGGCGCTTATTAATCTGGGTAGGGTTATAGGATCATTGTCAAACAATGTGAAAGGCCTCATAATCCAGGGAAGAAGAGGAAAACCTTTAAGAGAGCCACAGATCGCTGCAAGAGCAAAAACTCCAGATAATTCTCAAAAAGAAAAGAGAAACTTTTAAAAACCCAAGAGCTTCATGTCAGATCCTACAGACCTCAGTTAGGATGTTAAATGTTAAAGCTCATTATCACACATCAAATAAAGATGTAACAAATATTATATTTCATATGTATTTGTCATGTTGCATAACAAATTAACAGAAAATAGACACCAGACTTTTCTTTCCTGTCCTTTCTTTTATAATTCAGAGTGAAAACATTGACTCCAAGACGAATCTTAGGAAGTTTAAGCCTCCAGTTCATCTTTTTTTTTTTTTTTTCATTTCTTTTCTTTTTGCAGATTTTCATGCACGGTAACAACCTGAACAGCCTCCACCAGCTGATCCACCCGGAGATCCTGCCGTCAGAGCTGGGTGGGATGATGCCGCCGTACGATATGGGGACGTGGGCGCGCACGCTGCTGGACCACGCCTACGATGAGGAGACAGACTACTGCCCAGAGTCCTACACTCTGTCGGTGCAAGACCTGGAGAGAGACCTGGAGAAAAACATGTCCCCAAAAACCATGAAGAGGTCAGATTGCTTATCACGTTGGATTGCTTGGTGATTTAAAAAAATCTTCACCATTTATTTAAAATAAATCCTCAACAAAATGCTGACTTCCATAGGACCAGAGAAACTAACCCAGATTTACCCAGAATGCCCCTGTTGGAGGGCATATTCCTGCTACTGGCTTCATAATCCACTGTGACAGTAAATCATCTCATCACCAGGAGACATAATGCGACTCAAACGTGTTTATGATATGGAAGACAAACAATCCTGAGCTGACACAACAAACCGTCACTGCAGGGCATCACACTGACGACACTTACTGCTGAATCATTAGTCACTAATTAATCATCAGGTTATGAATCATCAGGTAATTAGTCTGGATAGTTAAAAATACTCTGCTGTTTGACTCAACTGGTTTCAGTTCTGACATGTTTGTGTGAAATGTTGTTTATGATTTATAAGAATGTTTCCCAGTTAAAGTTTAAGCATTTGGAAATAATTTCTATATTTATTACAAGCAGTCATTTAGCAACTTATACAGGAAGAATGTAACTAAATGAAAACTATACACAAGATAATATGCCTTCTTTTTGATTACTTTTTACATTTTTTCTAATATATGGCATTCATTCATTCATTCATTCATTCATTCATTCATTTTTTTCACATTTTAGTTTAACAATTTTAGGAAACACCTAACTTGTGCTAGATTTATTTTATTTTATTAATATGTCTTTGCATCTCCCACAGTGTCTCATAGGAGTTTGTATGTAAACAGTGATGTCGTTGGTACCCAGCTCTGCCTGGATCTCACTGGATGCTTTGTTGCTGTAGGTCTCAGTCGGTGGTGGAGCCAGGAGTCCTGAAGAGACCAGACAAAGTGAAGAGTGAAGAAGACAACCTGCAGCCGCTGCTGTCGTTGGACTAAACGCCCAGAGTTACAGCGGAGAAGCAGAAATAGATCAGTATTTCAATTTCTAAAAACGTACCTGTGCACATACTGGAAGCGACTCTCGTCCTGCAGAAAGACGTTCCTTCAAACTTTACGGAAAGCAGCAGGGACACGTCCAGAAACCGACGAGCTTCTGATGGTCCTCTATACAGTATATTTATTTATGTAGTTTCATGTCAAGTGCCAATTCCAGAAACTGTAAATATGAAGTCTTTAAACAATCCAGAGCGGAGCAGGAAGGCTGGTCTTAAGGCCGAGCGGCGCTGCGGAGGGATGACTGGAGGTAACGGTTCCCACGGTTACTACAGGAGGACGGATGTGTGAAAACTGCAAACATATTTCAAAGAGGACTTCAGACCACAGCAGCAGGCTTTTTTATATCTTTGTGAAGAAAAATCTCTGGACACGGACAAGAAGGGGGCCGCAGAAAAACAGACACTGCTTGTTTTCTTGTAAGATTTTTCCGATGACAATAATGTCTAAAATTTCCGTCTCTCTCCAGTTATCTTTTGGAAAAGCAAACCTCCCTTTACGGTAAGAGTTGTCTCTATGGATCATCGGCTTTTTTCCCCCTTCAGCCATTTTCTCTCCGTCTGACCCAGATGTCACAGAAAACTGCTCCGCTCCACCATTAGAAGACCCACAGAGCTGCAGGCTCTCTTCCTCAGAAGAAGCCGTATTTTCAGAACCTAATGGGTGTAGCCACTAAAAACAGGGCTAAATATAATTTTATAAAAGCAAAGTTCTTTTGCTTTGTGGCACTTTTTGTGTTGCAAGGTGGGAAATGTTTGGGTGATGATGTTCATCCAAAAAAACTAAATAAATCACTGAGTAGCTGCAGTTTAACTTTCACTTCAGGGTAAAGGCTTTTTCACTATGTAAGATTTATAGATATAGATGTTATAGAGAGCACCATTTCTTTTGCTTGTGCAGGAAACCACATGTACATAATGCAGCAAATGGCTCTGCAGGTTTATTGGCTCATGTTAAAAAAACTAACTATTTATTCTTTTCTGTTTAAAATCACAGCATTAAAGTCAAAATTCTGACAAATAAAAGTAAAAGTAATAATAATTCTAAGAAAAAAACAATCATCCATTAATTTTTTCATATGCAGAAACTCAAAATGTCCCCAAAATATCCAAATGAAGTCTGGATGTTTGGTTTTTAACGCTGCTGACAGCAGCTCTCCTCTCGGTCCTTTGCAGACCTGCAGACATTCCAAACTGCAATAATGTCTCTCATTAGAAAACGTAGATTATAGACACAGACAGTATTAAAAGATTTATGTCAGAATTTTCTTTTTTTATGTAAACACAATGAGAGGAAAACTTCAACATATTCCAAACAGTTTGGACATTTATTTTCTGTAAAAAGACCTTTAAGTACTTAGAGTTTAGGTTAAATTTTATATTTAGAGTACAGATGTTATAATTAGTGAGATTTGTTATTTACTGCATAGATAAGATAGAAGCTTTAACTCAGCATTTGCTCCACCCTGTTTTATTTTTAGAGTTTATTGAAATGCATCCGGCTCCATCTGACGGCTGTTACAGTTTTTCCACATCAGGCGAATGAAGTGCAAATCTTCGACCAGTGAATGTCAGCAGCCGGGCGGGTCCAGTGCGGCCGGGTGGGTCCAGTGCGGCCGGGCGGGTCCAGTGCGGCCGGGTGGGTCCAGTGCGGCCGGGCGGGTCCAGTCCGCTCGGAGGCAGAGAGCGTCCGGCTGAACGCGGAGCGACAGCTGGGATGTCCAGCCGTCAGTCGCTGCTCAGCTCAGCCCCACTGAGAGCAGCCAGGCCTCCTGGTCTGCTGGTGAAGCTGCAGATAAAAACCAGCCTCTGAGGCTCTCAGCTTCATTCACAGAATATATGATCAGTTTGTCCCTCTGAGCAAAAAGCTGCTCAAAATTCATAATAATTTGACTCTGACGGTTCCTGCATTAAAAATATCTGACACTGTAATTTTCACAATGAAACTTATTTGTACTTATTGCATAAAATTGCGCAAATTTGAGATTATAATTTTCTTTCTGGTCCATTTGAGCAAGTGTGAGGGTAATATGCAGCATACTGCATCAATTACTATTAATTGATGCAAAGATTTACAGTAAGTCTAAAAGTTTCAAATCTTTTTAACGCTAAACTGTCTTCAAATTCCTGTAAAAAAAATTTATTTGTAATTTCTTCCCCTAAATATAAAGTCCTCGATTACATGTTGGATTATTAATTTTCCTCTACAGAATCCCAATCATTGCCACTTAGAGGTACTAAAACTTTGCAGCTGCAGCAGCCAATACAGTCCTGCTTTCACCATAAATGTATTTACAGAAAGTAAATACATTTTGGAAACCATTTTCATGACGTCAGGAAGCCATTTTTAAAAATTAGTCATGCTAAATTTGGCTGCCTGGATTACTAAGTGTGGCTGAAATATAATAATAGAAACTAAGCTAACAATGAGGATCAGGCTAAGTTTAGATACAAATACTGATCATTTAGATATTTTTGATCTGGACTTCAATCTTCATGCTTCCAAACTAATTGGTTCATCCACTTTTTAAAAGATAATATTTTGAAATTGACCTTTTTTGGTGACCAGGACAGTTTGAAATGAATTCAAGGAACATTTTAAACCTACACAGTTAACACTTATTTCATTAGTTGTTCTAGTAAAAATATTTTGTGAAAACAGACAATTTATTATCAGATGTTGTTTAATTATCCAGCCAAATATATTCTGGTTTAAAGAGAGGAACACTGTTGTTGTTTTTTGTTAATATTAGTCTAGTTTAAGATTTTATTTGTCAGTTTTTGTTTGCAAAAAAAAAAGATAATCTCCAAATGAACCAGATCCACTAAAGGGCAAAATTTGAATCTGAGGAAATGTAACAATCCTTTACAGAAGCTTCCAGGTGCTTAGACTTTACTTTCTGTGCATAAACAAAAACCTTGGATGTATTTTTTTTAAGGTTATCAAACAGGATGGCGGGGGTCAGAGGTCAGGAGGTGTAAAGACAAACAGGGACACACACTCACACACTCACACAGCCACTGTAGATGCTTCCAGTTGTTGGGATTAAACGTTTACATGAAGTGAACATGTACACTGCTTGAATATCGCTCCACTCCGTGACTCAGAGCCTCCTGCTGCTCCACCGAAGGGTTAAAGTGACACAAGTGAATTTCACTGGTTGTTTTGTGTGACAGTATTTAACAGATGGTTATACAGAAGATCTTTAATTTTACAACAAAACGTTCTTTTCTGGTAATTCTTCACTGAACACTTAGTATTTTTTTATGTTTATTTTGTCAGTATTTTTATGGAAATTGCTAATGTTTATTATACAAATGTCAGATGTGTGCTTTTTAAACTGTAAGCAGTCTGAAATAAGTTTCATATTTAAGAAATTCAGCATTTTGAATGTTTTTCTACATGATGTTTTGTCTTTCTTTCCAAAGTTTTCATCAGAATTTTAAACCTTAAATGAGAATAAAAATCTAAAAACCACCTTAGATGCCATCCTGGAGGTTCACAGGTCTTCATACACATTTACCAAAACATTTTAACCAAAATTTTAGATTTTTACAATACAGGATGTCATGAAAAATAACAGCAGTCTTTAAAAAGTTACATATAGCTGGAGGTTTACGGCGTGATGTAACCTTTAATGACTTATTGCGTAAACAAACTCATTCACACAATTGCAAAATTATTGATATTCCATAAAGACACAAAGTTTTGAGTACGTTTGTAATGCAGCTGTTTGTAAAACACAGGAACCTCCATGATGGTAACTGGTGTGGTTTGCAGTTTATTTGGTAATGAAACGGCACATCTTTTTTTTTTACTCAGTTTGTTTTCGGTTTGTTTCCAGTAAATGCTCCCAGCTTTCATGAACCTGAGCTGAATAACTTTTCACTGATTTCATCGTTTTTCTCTATTTAAAGCTTCCAGCAGTGACAACTCCCTGCATCCAACCTGCTTAATGAAGATTTGGATTCATTAATCTGTTTTTATCTCTTCTGCTCTCCATCACGCTCTTGTTATTCAGTATTTTGTAATAATCGATAGTCTGTAGGCGGTTTAATTCTCACTGACTTTGAATTGTGTCATGTCTCTGCCAAAGCCGCTTGTTCCACTGAGAATCTAATGTATTGTTTCTGATCATTAAGTATTTGTGCACTGATGACATTGAATGATCTTTTCTTACTGATTGGTAATTTCTTGAGGAGAAAAGAAATGAATGCATAATTTTGAGTTTACTCACTTCTTCTTTTCTCACAGTTTTCTGATTGTATAGTTGCAGTAGGAAGACGACACTGAAGCAGAAATGTGAAGTTATTATGAAAGCCAGTATATTATAGGAGCAAAAACTGTCCAGTTAGCAGGTGTTCTATGTGTAAATGTCCTCTAAGACAATTTGCTGAAATGTAAAATGATCAAAATAAATATGGACATGCAGATTTTCTCACTCTGTTGTTTTAGATTTTGTTTCTTTTGTTTAATATTTGAAACAAGATCAAATGCAAATATTGGGACTTTCAGGTAAAAATACAATCATCTCACTGATTAATTTAATATATTTCACATTCAAATTAATAAATTTAAATCTTCTGAAAGGTAGAAATGTGTGTAGATATTAACTCTTCGGAGAGGTAAGAAAGGAACATGAGTCAAAATTGAATGACCTTCACTTATATCCAAAGGTTAGAGGTCAACTATGCAGATGACCCCTGAATATTAAAGTGATTTCTGCATTTCTGCTCCTCAGCTTGTTTAATAACACAAACAGTTGCTTTTATTGAACAGGAACCAGAGGAACTAATCAGAGGTAAGTAGATGCAGCTGAGGAAGAGAGCAGGCAGAGGAAATGAGGAGAAGTGAAACAGCTGGGAAGGAAAGCAGAGCGGGAGAAATAAAAAAACAGACATGCAGGGAGACATGACATCTAAAATGGTAAGATTTAAATTTATTCCTAAACTAAAACAAGATTTAAGCAACTAAACAATGAATATAATGTCAAAAACAGAAGAAGTTCTAACACCTTACAATCACAAACGCAAGATAATTACAACCTGTTGTTGTTCAGTTTCTCTTTTGCTTTTTTGTATTTTTAATCAGGCATTTAAAATAGTAACTGTATGTAATCCCTACTGGTTCTGATACTTTTCTCTCTCTTTGTCGCATTCATACTTTTTATGTTTCAGTTTTTCACTCACTAAAATAAATGCTCAAAGCCTTTTATCAGACTGACTTCTGAAGATGTGATAAAAAATGGGAACAACATTACTGAAGAAAAAAATGTTTTCCTTGTAAGAAATATGCTCAAAGTCAGTATATATTATTGGTTAGAAGGTGGAGATTTCTTATGAATGTTTAATGATACAATCAAACACAAATAGCTTTAAATATTTATTCACATTATAACACAAAAACTCATTTTGTAGTGAATGATGCAACATTTTCACTCTGACATTTGAATCTTTAAATGTCTGTAAAGCCATCTGTTGCTTCTGAAGGTTTTGTTGCTTTTGGTTTTACACACAAAAGTCACATCTTTGCACCAATTTGCATATCTTTGCATATTTGCACCAATTTATATTTTTCAAAGGATCTCCTCATGCACGAAACATAGAAAATAACAAAAAAAACATCAGTTCCTTCTGAGAAAACAAAACCAGAGAACTTAAATTCTGTTTATTTGAAACACAAATTCATCGAGTAAAATAATCACTCATGAAAATAATCTCACTAGTTTGTTGGTGCACATATAAAACTAAACACTACTGGCTTTAAGGCAGAATTATTTTCACACTTTCTAAGTAGGCTTTGTTTTTTAAAATAAAAAATTATGAAAAAAAAACAAGCTGTTTAAAGTTTAAATCTAAAGAGTTGAAAGTGATTTTTAAATGAAAACTTAAATATGAATCAAGTGTCAATGTTACCAAATTATATGTTTCTGGTGCCTAAGTGTCAAATATGCACTTTATTTAGAGAAAAAAAAAATATATATAAGTAGAAATTAAATGCAGCACATCAACCCAGTCAGACATCAACAAAAGAAATCAACAAAAACTGAAAATGTACTGAAAACAATAAAGTTCCAAGATGGTCTCAAACCTAAATCTCATTTTTATGAAACACATGTAACTTCTTATCCGTTTTTCAGAACAATGATGTTTGTTCTGAAAATACGCTTCTATAACGTCTTCCTCAAGTTGCCCACTGTTTGATGAATGTGGCTCCAGTTCACTTCACATATCTGTTATTTTCTGAAGCCTGGATATGATTTTCTGAAACGTGAAGCTGCTCACCTTTCATTTTAACCTGCTTACTTGGTCAAGTGATGAAAAAAAGCACCAGTTAGTGGCAGCAATAAAACATCAATGCTCAAAATAAAAATGGAATACATATTTATGACATTTTACAGCTAAACACCATTTCTTACTGCTTTTATTCGGCTCACAGTTGGAAAAAAGCCAACAAACATTTTTTGTCTGAGGTTTAAGATCAATTAATGCTCATTCCTCTGCAGATGAAAAACTAACAGTGAAATAAAAGAATGAAGGAATAAAACAAAAACTTCAAGGCAAAGTATTGTTAAAATGTAACGACATGCATAAAAAGTCAACTCACCTTAACAAAATCAAACATGAATTTAAAACCTGTAATGTATTCAAGCTTCAACTAAACTTCCCACCAAACATGATATTTACATCAGATTTCACTGACGTCTGCTCCTCCTGTTTCATGACATCATGGTCTGTCCTTCCTTCACTGACATCAAATCTACAGAAATAATTAAATAAAAATACAACATACCTGCAGCTGTACAATATAAATACTGTGTGTTAATGTAAATAACACAAAAATAAGCTGCAAACACAACATTTACAACAAACTGAAGGTTAACACCTGGTTTGCAGGTGTGATTTAAGGCCACTCTGACGAACACATTCCCTGTGGTCAGGCCAGTCCTGTGAAGAACTGAGACCAGAGTTTCCTGGAACCCATTTTAGATTTGGACTCAAAGTTTTCAACAAACCTGAGGGTTAAATGCATCAAAGCGAACCAAAACGAGATGTTTAGCAGACATAAAATAATACTTTCCACCCAAACGCTCTGACTTTCTGAGGAAGTTTGCTCTAAATGGTAACTGGTAATCTCAAAAATAACAAAGAATTACACATTTGAGCTGCTTTGGAAAACTTGTCAGAAATGTCCACATTGTCCATGAATCTCAGAACTTTGACTTTGTTGGTAATATATGGTGGATCCCTGGTATTTATGGGTTTGGGACCAAAGTCACCAACAAGCAGCAAAAATACTCCAGTCCGCCTCTAAACATTATTCAAACACCAAATATACCTTAACATTCATTAATACGCACAGAGGAAACTTAGCACTCCTCTTTTCGTCTCCATCTCCGGTCAGCCAGTCAGTGCCAAGAAAATGAAATGGCTCGTCTCTGGATTGGCTGCTTTGCGGACGACAAGTAGGATTGTGCCAAAATATTTCAGCTTCCCAGGCTGCAGTTTCTTTCAAACATTTTAGAAACAATATAAGAAAAAAATCCTTGAATCTGTGAATTTTCTGTGTTAATTCCTCAGAAAACGCAGATTTCGGGGATCCGCTGGTTTAGATGACATAAATTCTCTGCAGGTTTACAAAACTAAACTCTGCACTTTAATAGTTTTTCTTTACTTATTGCTAACATTTCAAAAAGTTTAGCTAGCGCATAATTCAGTGCAGCGTAGCCACACTTCAGTCCCACATGTTAAACTGCTTTATTTAGTCCCTCTGCAGCAGTACGAGTACCCTGGACTATTCTGTCACATAAATAAAATATTTAACTTTAACATCCTTTGATAATCGTGCACAGAACCATCAGGAGTGAAACATCGTGGGAGTAGAAACTCCCTTTTGGTTCCTTTACAGTAGCATAGATTTCTATTCAATAAGACAACAGAAGGAAATGTCTAGCAGCGCTCAGTAAGTCATAAAACCAGAACGGTGAACTTGTTTCTGAGTCACATCACCAGAACCGAGAAGAGTCGAGGTAAGAAAACGACAGCATATCAGGCCCGCTTCACAGGCCGATAAGAAAACTACATTCATTCACCGCGTCGCTTCAGTTGGTCACGTCCAAGTTGTCCTGCAGTTTCCCCGTCTCCAAACGCGTCGCGTTAAAACTCCTGCAGCTTCTCTACTGTAAGCTACAGAGGCCTGAAGGTGCCACAATTTAATAAAAACATTGAAATAAGAGGTTCCAACAACTAAATAAAATACGGACTTTTAAAAATTAAGTGTATTTTTTATGCATAATAGAAATACATCATTATTTCAAGCTTCTATTTTATCTAAAATATTTATGATGAATAATTTAGATTTTACTTGTTCATTTAATTCTTAATCTCCAATTTTACTGCTAATGTCTATAAATAACCACCAACTTTCTTAATATTATTGTTTGCAAATTTTGACACACAGTTAAGTAGAAATCTCCACATTACCCAGTTCTAATTCCATATATTTAAAATACAATACTATTCATTTTTGTTATAATTTGTTTTCTACAGTAATGTACAACACTTTTTCTAGTTTTGTTTCTCTTTAACATACTCTTTTTTTTTATTATTTTATATATGCATGTTTGTAAAAGCACATTTTTGTGTTGCAGTTGGGTCTCACTTGATGGCATAAAAAAGGAAGGAATTGACTTGTTTTCTGGGATTCAAACTATAAAAGGAGAAATGCCTGTAATTTGAATATTTAAAGGTTAAACCAGGACAGCATCCTGTTCTCTGACCGAGAGCCTCTCAGTTTTTATTACCATTTTACTGCTGGATGTCTGGAGACGGGAACACTGCTGGGATAAAAGTGGGAGCCTCTGGGTTTGGAGTCTTCACTGCTAGCATGCTAATCTCTTGCACCCACAGGTGATCTGTGATGAACGGGCAGTGCAGGTCACTGCTGTGACATTTAGTAGTGCAGCAGATAAAGGTAGAAACTGTCAGCTTTGAAATTCCTTGTGGTTAAAATTATATATATATAAATATATATATAAAAAAGGGTTGATTGGAAATTTATTTTGTATTTGGAAAGAAAATCTAAACATAGTCACAATGTATTGCAGTAAAAGTAGCTGTGGGTGCAAAAGACTGAGAACATTTCAGAAGCATCCCCAGCAGCTCAACCACTGAATAAATCAGTAAATTAAAACTAAAATCTATCCGTCCTGTTTGTGTTTTCTTGCCTGTGTCTGAATCGCAGGCAGAGGAAGTCACAGCATTAGAGATCTGTCAGTCGGGTCAGTGGCCCGCTGCTCTGGCTGCTCTCTGCTGCTCCAGCATCGACCGTACTGCAGGGGACAGCATGGCGGGAGACATGGCCGGGGTGAAAGGTCGTAAAGGGTAGTGTGCGTGTTTTCCTGGGAAATAGATGCACTGGAAGTATTTCTGACCTGGAAAGAAAAGAAGGCGAGATGCTGTGTGTGTGTTTTAATCAGTGGTGGTTCAAGCATGAAGAGAGGAAGATATAAACATAAATACAATAACTAAATGAATTAAAAATCATGTAAATTAATTAATCTGGTGCCTGATGGTTGTGATCTTTCTACGGCAAACATCATTTGAAATAAAGTTAGTGCTTTATCATTGGCTTCCACCATGTTGGTGTAATACTTCAGCATTAAACTAATAATAATGTTTATGATTATAATGTTTATAATTTAGGGTTGGCACAACTAACTTTTAGTTAGCGGTAACTTTTAGCCATTATTGGCTACTGTTGACCTTTTAATTTGAACCAAATTACAGAAGCAGATCTTACTCGGTTTCTTCTTTTCTGTCTTCTCTGTAACATTGTCTTCAGTCTCAGGCTCCTCTGCAAGAAGTCAAACATAACAAACTTAGATTAAGGAATTATGTGTTCATCTGTCAGAGGAGAAAATAGAGGCAGTGACTGTCTGCAAGCTTATAGGCAGAAAAAATAGAAAAGGTGGATTTTTTTCCCCAACAATCATTATTTTGCCTTTTCAATCTTATTCCAAAGTTCACCTTTTTAAAAATTAAGTAGCTTTTTCAAAAACTCTTTACAGTGAAGATAAAAAGAAACACTGACACTTGGAGATCTTATAGATTGCTAACAACTTTGATTTGTTTGTTGGCTTTGTGATTTATTTGAAGATCAGTGTTTTAAAACTAAATGTAATTAAACTTGTTGGAAAGTTTGAGCATGGACAAAATATTTAAAACAGAACTAATGCATTTAAGAAACTGCTTTTCATCTTTTCATCTATGTTTCCGTGTTTATTTATTTGTATAGTTGTCATTTCCACCAATCAGCCTGAGGCTATAAACAACAAAGAACAAAACCAAGAGAAATGCAGGATCTCCTGAAGTAAAACCTGTTTTTAAATGAAAATGACAAATATATCAATATCTAATTATTATAAGTTATTATTGTGACCAGTTTAGTATCTGAAAACCTTTGATAATATAAAATTTATATTATGGAAAATGTAAGACTCTAAAATCACACAGCAACATGTAAATATCTTTTCAGTTCTATCAAAGCTAAAATATAATATTAATACACAAATATGAAAAATATGCATATATCAAATAATTAACTTTAATTAAGGTCAGTTTTAAGAAAAAGTGTAAGTGTCTTCACTGGAACTTTGATCATTCCTTTCCACACCACTAAAGTACTTCTTGGAGTTGTTTTTAAAGTATTTTACCACAGATTCTGTTCTGATTCTGGTTTTTCTTGTTTTATCAGCCAAAATCAAACGGGTGTAGAAAACAGGAGGAGGTCTGTCCAGTAGAAGTGTGGGGACACTCGGGGCGGTGCTGGTAATCCACTGAATGACTCATTATGAACAGGAGACTAATCAGTTTTGGCTCTTAGGTTTAATCTATTGGGTAATTGATGCTGTAAAACATTAATCTCTTCAAATAATTCAAGACCCTTAAAGATGTGGATAATCTCGTCTCAGTTAAATGATCTCATTAAATTCTTTGACTGTGCTGTCATTAGCATCAGCATCTCCTCCTCATACTGGTTCAGTCAGTGGAAATAAGGTGAGAACATAGTTTATACCTCAGACCTTACAGGAAGCAGCGTCTTCCCCATGCGCTAGTAACAAAGCATACAAATAAAATTATTGTCAAAAATGAAAATAACTCCCACACCGCTGTATTAGTCATAGAGATAAATGTTAAAATCACAAAATGGAATAAATCTATTCTGGATGATATTTTTAGTTTTATTGAAGCGATTTAATGAGTATCATAAAGGGTACAGTTTTATCATATTACCATCATCCTTCCAAGTTTTGCAGGGGTTTTACAGCAATTTTATCGTGAATTTATCAAATTAAAGTCCCTAAATCTGTCCCTAGACAAAAACAGGGTTACATAGGAAGACTGGAATGTGCTCACATCCTGTGGCTGCAAAACAAACCTGCTACCTGTGTCATCATTATTAATAGACGGTATGAAGTGTGTTGTGTTTGGTTTGATCGAGACGCGGCGCTGTGCATTCAGGCCCAAAACATCTCAACCTTCTCCAGAGTCACAAACGATGCTCACTGGGTCATACTTACGAGTTTTTGGTGGCTGTTTGACTTTATCTGGAGTTTGAGAAAAGATGTTGATCAGTTTAAAGTCAGGATCTCAGAGGAATCATTATTTTCTGACTCCATACCTTCAGCTTCTTTGGCTGGTTTCTTTTCAGCCTTTGCAGCTTTTTCTGTAAGAGAAAAGAAAAAGCCCAATTATATCCTGCAAAACACATCACCATCATCGTTTACACTCCCTCTGTGTTGCACCTCACAGCACATCCTCAATTCGAGTTTTATCTGGCAGAAAACAACTTTAATCACATAATCCATACACCTTTTTACGAGCCAGATTCTCTCTGAGACGTCAAGATAAACGCATAAAAAAGCCAATAATCTGGTAAGAAATGTGAGATTTGAATCATAACAATTTGTATTTGCTCATTAAATGGTCACTGTTTGTTTCTTAGAATATATTATGTATTAGTTATTATGCTGAAAATAAATATTTGTTTCATCTCCATTGCGCTTGATGCAGCTATCGGGATATCGGGTCTTTTTTAACAGACAAACCCACACACACTCGTCCTCCTATAGTTGGACGTTGTTTTGAAATCTACACATTAAGAATCTGAGTGGGAATTTTCTGGTAATCTGTTCTCAGCTCCTTTCTGACCGTTTCCTCCCACTCCCACACATTCTGCCTAATTATTCCCCTTTTCCATTTCATGTGTTCAGCCTGTTAACATGTGAACTCTGCTGGCTTTACATCTCTTCTCGGCAGAAGATTCGGTTATTGTGACTAAAGTGAGGTCAAAGGCATTTCATCCTGCCCACTCTCGGCTTTAAAACTGAAATACATTTTATTATTCAACACAAACTTAACCGCTATTTAAAATAAATGTAAAACACAAATTCATGGCTACTTTGGAAGGACACACATGAGAAAGCTGTTTTGTTTTTTGTTTTTTTGTTTTTTTTTCCAAAACTAACGTGAGCACAGCTTAAGTTTTGGAAACAATGTGGTTTGGACAGATAAGACCAAAGTTCAGATGTTTGGCCTTTTTGCAGAAAAAACAAACAAAGCACATGAGGACAAGGATCTCATTCAAACTGTGAAGCATGGTGGTGGAGGAATGATGATCTGGACTTCTTTTGCATTCACTGGATCACAATAACAATAAAGAACAATGCATAAAGTAAGACATGTATAAAAGAAAGGGATTGGGAAGGGACTTATTTGAATGTGAATATATTTGAAATAAACTAAACTAACCCTGCTCTCATTGGTTTGACCATGAACTCCACTGAAAACTAACATCAAATAACTCATTGACGTTAACTGCATGATCAACAGAAAACAAATTGGGGTGATGCAACGGCCTAGTCAAAGCCCAGAAATCAACTTGATCAAAGTGTTTTGGTTCAGTTAACTTTACAAAAATAAATATCTTTAACCTCCATGAAGTGAGATAATGTTATAAAGTCCCACTGGACAAAAATCTGATCAACTACTGAGAGTGATGGTGTAAGGATTTAGGTTTCTGTTTGTTTTCTAGTCAATTTCGTTCCTGTCGTCTTGTCAACCCCTTGATTGATCCCAGCTGTGTCCTGTTTCCTTGATTACTCCCTTGTGTATTTAATCCCTCCTGCGTCTGTTTCCTCGTGGGGTCCTTGTCCATTGTCAGATGTCTAGCAGTTGTATGTTCATGTCGTTGTCTTTCCTTTGTAACCAGTTACTACCAGTGATTGAGCTCCCAGCTTTTTGCTCACCTGTGCTGCCTGGACGTATCTATAGTCCTTTTGGATCACCATTAAATATTCAGTTTTGCACTACAGCCTGGGTAGTAGTGCAAAACTACTACGTTTCTAACCTCAATGGTTGAGTTTCCTAGAAGATTATTTATAGAACCATGAAGCAGTAAAGTGTCTGTTATGTTTAACCCGCCTTGTGTTTGTTAGTTACCTGACTTAAAGGAAACTCTGACTGGTTTCTTTGGCTCGGCTCTAGCGGTCACGTTTGCCGTCCTGCCAGCTTCCAGTCTCATCCTCAGTCTCAGAGGCTGTGGACTTGATTCTGGTTCTGTCCAACACAACCCAACACCTTTTACTCATTCATACTAAATAAACCATTAGTATCTACATTCACTGGACTGGAAAAGTTTTAATTTCAGTTAGAAACTTGGTCAAACTCAATTACTTAAAAAAAGATTAACCATTAGGAAAAGTTCGCGGAGTTCGTGCATCATCAGAATTGTACCTTTCTTATCTTTGGATGCTTTGACTTTGCTCTTGACAGCCGGCGCTCCGGAGGGGAACAGAAACAATTAGTTTCTAATCAACAATCATCTGTCTTGTCACTGCAGTGAATGATGACTGACTTCATGCATATTAATTTGAGTCGGTGCGTGTTGTTACCTGTCCTCTTAGACACTGATTTCCTCTTCTGCTGTACAGCTGCAGGCTCTAGCATAATGAGCAAATTGTTGGGATTAGCTTTAAAAAATCATGTTTCTGAATCACTGCTGACATTTTCTTTAGGCTGCATCTCAATCCATTTAGTAATGAGACCCCAGACAAACCAGACTCAGTCAGCTAACCTTTTCTTGATTTGGTTTTCTCTTTTGCAGGCCTCTCTACGGACAAAGAACAAAAAAAGCCAAATAACAACAGAAAACAAGAGCATGCAGCTAATAAATTAATTAATATTTTATGTACCTTTTTTAGCTTCAGTTGGAAGTTTTGATTTCACTTTTGCAGGCTTCTCTAGAAATAAATGATAAAATGTGACAGAAAAAAGCAACATTTTTGAAAGCATACAGCCTGATAATTCAGCTGATATCACATTTACCTTTTTTAGCTTCAGCTGGAAGTTTTGATTTCTCCTTTGGAAGCTTCTCTGTAGATGAAACGGTAAATTTTACATGAGAAACGTTTTTAAAAATATTTATACTATCAATTTTCTAAGTATATACTTCACCTTTTTTAGCTTCAGTGGAAAGTTTGGTTTTCTCTTTTTTTGGAGCTTTATCTAAAGAAACAAACATTTGTGTTCATTTTTATTTCGACGTCATTTATTTCATGGCGTTTATTGTAATGGAATCGTTTTCAGTCATAAAGTCACTGCGTTAACTGAAGCTAAACAGGAAATGCTTCTTTCTGTTTCATCTTTTTTCACACACAGAGAATAATTTCAGTAAAATGACCACAGAAGGTAAATGGTGCCAGTTTAATGCATGCAGAGCACTTTGTGTCACTGTATATTACATTTATCACATGCTGCAGCTGCAGTTAATTTCAGGAAACATCCCACTGATTCAGTGAATTAAAGCAGAAGAACATCAAGTACCTTTTACTGAATCAGTAACCTCAGTTTTTTTCTTTGCAGCTGAGAAAACACAACAAAATACATAATTACTGTACACAGCTGTAATTAGGAGGAAAATGTTGATGTCTGCAAATTTAACTCGTTAATTAGTTTGTACCTTTCTTCACTGAGGGAGCTTTTGGTTCTTCCACAACTTTCTCTAGTTCTAAAAGAAAACCAAATATTTTTCATCATTCAATATGTGCTTTAAAACTGTTTTTAATTAGAACTATATTAAATTAATATGTATTTTATGTTTCTCTTTGTGTAATCATATTTTTCTTCAGATTTTTGCTGTTTTTAACCCATTTCCACAGTAACTAATCATCTTCATGCTCCTCCTCACCCTGGACTTCAGCTGCTGCTGGCGGAGCTTCAGCAGCTGGAGTCGGTACCTCAGGCTCCACCGGTGGTTCAGGTTGTGGAGCCTCTGGCTGTTCTGGTTGTACTGGTGGAGAAGGCTCTGCAGGAGCTGGCATTACAGGTTGCACTGGAGGCTGATATGGCTGATAGTGAGTATAGAGCGGCTGCATTAGTGGAGGAGGAGGCTGCTGATGAGGAGGCTGTGATGAAGGAGCTGGAGGGTGAACAGTCACAATCGGAGCAGAGGGGGCTAAAAAGAAAAAAAAAGCTGTTCATGACCTCACTGCATGCTAAATAACATTCCAACTAATATGACTGATGTACCTGGATATACATGTTTCAGAAAGGATAGAGTTGTGGGGCAAGGAGGGGGAGTATTAATTTGCATAAGACTTATTTAACGTCAATGAGATAGTCATAGATCAGCATATATATGTTTAAATGTTTGTCTTTCACCTCGTATGAATTTTAATATTGTGGTGGTGTACAATCCACCATCAAGTTGCAGCACAACTTTTTATCATAACTTAAAGGAATTGTTAACAGGATTTAGAAACGACAGTGAAGTAATCATTTTGGGGGATTTTAATATAAACTGGATGGACAATAAATTGAAAAAACCACTTGGAGAACTGACAGCAAAATTTGATTTTCACCAGATAATCAATAGTCCCTCTCATATCACTAAAAACAGTCAAACTTTAATAGATTTAATTGTTTCAAATAGACCTGGTCGAATCATAAAAATCCTATAACTATATCTGACCACAATATTACTCTCATTGCAAGAAAATTATCTCAAAATCGTTTTGTCAGTCGCTGTAATACACCGAAACAGACTGTAATACAAATTCCAAGACAGGATGAACCCAAATTTGAGGCCGAAATATCTAAGGTTAATTGGGATGACGTTTCCAGCCAGAATCAGATAAATGATTGCTGCAATACACGTATTCTTAATGTTTGTAATATTATGAATAAGTTTCTTAAAACCCATACGAAGGGACGAAGAAAAATACAGCTACCTTGGGTATCAGATGACATTCGGCTGTTAATGAAAAAGAGAGACTATGCTCTAAAATCTTTTCTTAAAAATAAAAGGACCACAGATTGGCTGCTTTTTAAAAGTTTGAGGATCAGAGTAG